CTCACCTGGTGCGCGCTGGGGTGTCGGGGGATGGAGGTCTCCAAAGGCACCAAGCTAGACGGGTCCCATCTGGGGTGCCAAATTGTGGTGGGAGAAACCTCCCTAAGGGTTGTTGTCTAGCTGTAATTTGCTCGAGCAAGGACCATAAAGCCAGCAAAAGGCAAAATGGCCCCCCCCTAAGGGTGAGGTGATCTTTTATACTTATTACAACAAGGCAAGACTTCATGGTTAACAAAAAAAGCAATACTTGGGCGGTGGTCTTTAAATCTTTGTAACAGCATATTTATTAGCTGAACTAGCACTTTTTTTAAAAGCTAAAAGTTAAGTAACAGTAACATTATAATATGTTAGCAAAACCTTACACAGTAGTAGATACTTCTCAAGGACACAACCAGTGCACCCAGAACAATGGTTTCCCTGTCTTATCTTACTTCTTGCTGTAGCTGATTTTTTAGCACACAGACACAGATGACACAGAGATATTTGCTGCTTTTAACTCAGAAAATGCTTAATACAGTTAAAATGATTACTTGACACAAGCAAAGGCTTAGCTATCAATCTGCCTTGTGGTCAGCTGCATTGCTAGGCCACAGGTCATGCCTTGTATTCAGCTGTAAAGCTAATACTTCTTAATAATCTAAATTATTGTAAACCTAACAGTATGCTTATCAGAAAACTATTCTATTTCAGGGTAATAACAAACCTGTGCACTACATAGTTTATGATCCACCAAGACTCTTAAATCCTTCTCTGCAGTTCTGCTATTGTCACCCATTTTGCATTTCTGTTTTTGATTATTCTTCCAAAAACATGTGTAACCCTAGGCACAACACTACCCGTGCCTTCACCTGAATAGCAGAATCCTGGGGTACCCGGTAGCCAGTGGCCCTGCCCAGCTCCCTAGACAGCTGCCGCAGGGTCCCCGATTGGAGAGCCTCCCCTTACGATCAAACAACCTTTCAGGCTCTTTTAAAACTATTTACAGGATTTAATTATTTACAAGGTAACATATAACCAATGCAATAGAACAAACCTTACACCATGACCCAGTGATGGTGGCTTAAGGTTAATGCTTCTCGGATACACTTTACACTAGAGGAAGGTATATAAATTACCCATAATAAATAAGGAACCAATACATAAATATATTGATGCTCCAACTAATAAAACATCAACAACTTATTTACAGTCTGTAACTTGCACAGTGTGTACTGAGGACCCTGTGTGCACTGTCCCTGGCTGGGTGTCTCAGGGAGCAGGACTGCATCTGTGCCCCTGCACAGGATCTGTGGGCGGTCCCTGGTGCTGGTGTCCCTCCCATGAGCTCCATCGGTCTGGGTGCAGCAGTCCCCTGCAAGAGAGCTGATTCCTGCCCAGACCCTTGCCCTGGCTCAGCTGGGAGCAGTGTCTGGGCTGCAGGTTGTAACAGTTTCCCCTGCCCAGCACAGCCTCACAGCACCCAGCAAATGCAGCCCCTCTCCAGACCTTGCCTGCCCCCGGGGTTCTGGTGGCTGGAGCAGACCCCGCCCCTCTAGCCCAGGGCTCCCTCCAGCACCTGAGCCTGCCCCTCCCCAGGGCCTTCTCATTCACAGGGGAAAAACCGGGGCAGTCTCCAGCCTCTCCCCCTGGTCCTGCATCCCCTCCCCTCCTGTGCTCAGCCAGCCACACAGGGGCTTGCAGGAGGGTCTTCCCAGGCTTGGAATCTCCTCCCAGGCAGCTCTTCTCTTGACCTGCCCCACAGGACTTGGAGGGGAAGGGAGGGAGAATGGACACAGTGCAGCGCTCTTGGTGCAGCCTCTTGCTGCTACTTCTGCAGGGGGATGGATGGCCATGGGGACATCCTTTCCCTGGTCTCCAGCCCATCTCTCACCCCCTCCCTCTCTCCTTTGTTCTCCCCATCGGGAAAACTGCTCTCCCCTTTTAACCAAGCCTCTCAGCCAATCCCGGGGCAGGGCTCTTCCCAGGCTTTTTCTAACCTCTCTCATTCAAACCCTGCTGGGGTTACATCACCCCTCCACTTCCAAGAGGGCTACCTCAGAAACAGCTTCACTCACCCTCAGGGCAAACAGTATCCCCACTGGGTCAAACTCTTGTTTCTCTGCGGGGCAGTCCTTCCTATCCCTTCAGGTGGGTCCATTTTTAATGCTGCTACACATGAATCCAATGTAAAACTAGTGTTCTAAAGGTGTATCCTGGTCTCAAACAGCTTGAGTCATCTAAACATTCATTTTTCCTTGGATCAGTGTTGAAAGACCTATCACTTCCTCTGGGAAATCACATTCTTCCCCAGCACTCTGCTCAGAGCATCCTTCAGTTCCTTATTCCTCATGCTGTAGATCAGGGGGTTCAGTGCAGGATTCAAAAAGGTGTAGAACACAGACAGCACCCGGCCTTGTTGCGGGGAGTAGGTAGAACTGGTGTGAGAGTAAATGAAAATGGTGCAGCCATATTGTAGAAGGACAACTATCAGGTGGGAGGAACAGGTGGAGAAAGCACGGTGACGGCTGGCTGCAGAGCGGATCCGCAAAATGGCAGACACAATAAGTACGTAGGAGACACAGATCATCAGGAAGGGGACAGTCAGAGTTATGATGTTTGCAAAAAAAATGATAACCTCAAGGCTCTTAGTGTTGCCACACACCAGTAGTAGCATGGGCATTGCATCACAGTAGAAGTGGTCGATTTCATTGTTACCACAAAATGGGTGGTAGAAGAGCAAAATAGTAACTTGCAGAGCAAAGAGGAAGCCCAGAACCAATGACCCAGCTGCAAAGCGCACACAGACCTTCCAGCTCATTATGAGGGGGTAGCGCAGTGGGTGGCAGATGGCCACATATCGATCGAATGCCATGACAGCCAGGAGCATGCAGTCAGCCCCACCCAGAAAGACGAAGAAGAACATCTGGGTACCACAGCCAGCAAGGGAGATGGTGGCCTTCCTTCCAGACAGGAGGCTGGCCAGGGTCAGTGGTGCAATGACAGAGGAGTAGCAGATCTCTAGTGCTGCCAGGTTGGCTAGGAAGAAGTACATGGGGGTGTGGAGGGAGTGGTTGGTCCATACAACAAGAGCAACAGCAGCATTTCCAGAGAGGCTGAGCAGGTACAGGAGTAGGAAGGGTATGAAAATCAACTGCTGGACTTCAGGAAGGTTTGAGAAGGGACGGAAGTGGAACAGTATTGGTCCAGTTTGGTTTTCATCCCCCATGGAACCAGGACATGGAACTGCAGAGAGAGAAGAGATGAGAGGAGTAGATAGTCCCCAACCACCAAGGGCAGGGCAGGTTCACACAGCAATCTAGACATTGAGGTTCAGTATAAAAGAATGCTATTTAATTCTTGAAAAGTCCAGAGACCTGGATAATCTGCCCCAAAATAAAAGGAATCCTTCTTGTTAGAGAAGAACAACACTGACATGGAAGATTATGGTAATTTTTCTTTGAGTTAGGGGACTGCTCACCAGAGATACCATCTGCAAAAGTGCTTATTTGATATAGGTACAGGCACTTGGCTCTTTGGAGTTTGATTTCTGGTGTGCATAGATGAGACATAGACTTCAGTAGACATATCTAAGTAGCCTACCTCGCTACTCCAGGTCCACTGCTGCAAAATAAGCCACTTATGTGAGTGCACTTTACCAGTTAGGCAGGCTAGCCCTCTTGGGAGATCTGCAGATTGGCTTAGATAGGACTTGAGTATTTATATATCCACTACTATGGTATTGCCCTTCAGCTCTCCTGAGGTGGACAGTCCAGCTGGTGGTCTGTGGTGCACCTAAGTGAGTGGGGCTTATTTTGTCACCAGGTGTCCAGGATTTGGGAAGGCAATAGTGAGGACATATACTTAGAGCCCTTTGGAAATGCCACTTGCTAAGGCTGTCCCGGAACAAAGTTGTATAGTTTATTTCTGATGGGTAACATTTTATAAAACCAAAATCAGAAAGATATTTATGGGGAAAAATAACCTTAAAGAAGTCAACTCCAACTCCTTAATCTTGCATACCTTCTTCAAATTCCATATGCACACATTTTCAGAAGAATATATCCTACCTTTTTTCTCTATTGAAAGTTTCCAAGAGAAAGAAGACAAAAAAGCAAGAAACTGAGACCAAAAAAGGAAAAATATCATAGCACTATTTGCAGCCTAGCAATAGAGACATTTTTTGAAAATTCACAAATTTGCAGTCATAATTTCTATCCTGTTTCCTCAAAAATATTCAAGATTGACCCAAATAAGGTTAATAAGGAGATGAACAGAGTATTAATTATTAGTGGGGAATATTAAAATTCAGTTCACTGGAATGAGCATGTCATGTACCCTGGGCTGTGTCCCCTGATAAGCGTGAGAAGCAAGATTTACTGGATAATCTTTTATTGGACCAAATCTATAAATGGGAGATAGGTAGTACTGTGCCTGGAGCAGTCACAACACATCAGGCAGTGCTGGCTGATGTGAAGCACTGACAGACACTGCGGGGTGGTGGCTATTTTGGGGTTCCTCCCGGATGAAGGAAGGACCCAAGGATGCTGCCCTGGACACCCCTCCTTAGCCACTACTGTAGAGAAGCTAGACAAACTTTCAGGTGCAAAATTACCTTTCCCTATGTCAAAGCCAAAGAAAGATGCGTGTTATCAAATACTAACCTGGGGGAAGAGTACTTACAACTCCTGTGGTAAGATTCTGAGTGGAAGAGAAGCCCTTCGCTGATATTTCATTATGGCCTATACAAACATATGCAGGGACATCTTATCTGTCTAAGGGGCTCTTTAAGCTAGAGGGCAAGGCCATCTCAGGAACCCAGACTCAAGTCAGAAGTGAGACACCACTTTCACAACTTTTGGAAACTCCATCTTAGTCCACCTCATTTGGAATGGGGCAGCAAGAAGATAAATAGTTAGTTCCTCATTACCAGAAGTCTGTAATTTATGACTGGATATTGGTCTGAGTGATATACTCTACTTTAACTATGGTATATCAAGCATGATAGTGATGCTCAGATCACAAGAAACAATAATTCCCTCTGCTGCAGGAACGTCTGACAGTTTTCAGCCTGTATTATGCAGGTGATCAGACTGGGTTGTCAATTAATGATCCCTTCTGATCTGAAAAATGTCTAAACTTTGTCAGAGGATGGCTTAAACCCTGAAGAATTAGGAATCAACAGAACCCAAAAAATCTTTCTAAATAAGAAAGATAATAACTGTTCTGAAACAATTCGCCACTATGCAATTGCAAGAACAAATTCATTTGTTCTTGACTAGTGAGGAAGTTTTAATAGACAAAAATCTACTTTCTCTAGCCCCTTCATTATAAGGCATATGTTCATACTGTTCCCCATTGTCTCCTCTAAATCAGAGAATCACAATCTCTCCATTCTCCTCCAAAAATATAGATTCCCCTCCAGCTCCAACCACCTCTCACCATTTCCTCCTGATTCCTCCACCACCTATTTCTGAAGTTTCCAGTTGTCTCTCAGATATTTCTTAGGTCATCAGAACAGTCCAGGTAGGCACTGACTGATTTCTGTAAATGCAGTGAAAACTTTTCAGAACCTAGTTTCCATCCCAGTACTTCCTCGGCTTTCTTTGATTTTAGCTAAATGAGCAGAAGGTTTCACTGAACTGTTCACTAGGATGCCCATGAGTTTTACATGAGCTGTCACCAGAAAGCTTGCCACCAACCTTTCCCTGAAATGGTCCAATGACATGTGTCGCGCCTCACCTCACAAATTGTGAGTCTCAGAGCTAATTTAGAATTTAGTAAAATGTAGGAATCTTTTAAATGATTCCTTCCAACATGCATTAGTTTCCAGCTGTCAGCTTCATGTTTCCTTTGCCTCGAGTTGCGTATTCATCCAACTTGGGTCAGCGTTTCTGGAATTTCCCCAGCTCCTCTCCTGTTCTCAACAACCTAAATACATTTGTGTCATATAAAACCTTTCCCACTCCTTTGCCTGCTTCGTCTTCCAGAGCATTAATAAAAGAACGATGCAACAAAAGCTTCAATCAGTGCTTCCTAATTTAGCATTGTGCTCCTCCCAGCCTCACAGAAAGCCAGGCTTGCTGTACCTTTCCTCCCCATGAGAGGGCTGCCAGGGAATAGGAGAAGCAAAATGTAACTACAGAGAATAAGAACAGTTTGCTCCTATGCAGCATTTCTGGCTTGTGAACACAAAGGCATGAGATCAATATAGTCGAACATGGGTCATTTCTTCCAGGCAGTTTCCAACCACTTCATTCTTAATTGATTGCTGAATTAAGAATGAGCTGCTCAACTTTTTTGCTGCACTTCTTATTTCAGTGGGCATCACTTCCCCAATCTGTCAGAGCTCATCAGCAATCCCACCCCGATGATCAGCTAGGTGGCATGCATTGGAATGAAAGCCAAAATAATCCATGGTCAGAGGAATAACTTTGAGAATGACATCAAGTTCCAACTTAAACATACTTAAACCCACATGCCAGCTCCCTGGGTGGGACTGAGGAATGGTTTCATACTGTTTGTTTTAGGACAAGCTTTATATCCCATAGCATGTGATCCTCCCAGAACAAGCATGGTAGCACAAAGGTAACATTGCAGTCTCTTCGTTAACAATGGAAAGCTGATAGCTGTGAAGAACCAGTTAGGACTAGACTGTAGGGTACCTTCTATCCAATAAATAGGGCCTTGTGCAAAGGGTGGGATTGTGAAGGATATTAGCTCCATATGAAGATCCAGAATAAGTCAGTGAGATGGGTTATAAATAAGGAAATATGAATCCAACACCATGTATCTTTGGTTCACTGTCAGGTTTCCCAGATCAGCAGAAGTGGTAGTTTACTTCATGTAGTGATCCAGTGTCTGAAAGTCTCATCTCTCTGAGGGCTGCAGTATCAACACCCACTTGATGTAGCTGCCTCTCAATTATGGCTATTTTCTGAAGTTCTTCGTCTTTTAGTTCAAGTTCTGTTAAAATAGTGCAAACATTCCAACAAGCAATGATTAGTTTAAAGCCAGAAAAAAGTTTTGGAAGGAAGCGTTTTAGCCCATCTTTTCTAGGGTCTTCCCCGGATTGGGATAAGCCAGCCACATCTAAATAGGGCTACTTGGACAGGATGAGCAACCATCCAGCACAGACCTTCAACGTATATACCTAAGCAGAACAAAGATTGAAGGGGGTGCTGTGGGCCCACCACCTTCTCTTTCAGCAGG